CACGCCTTTAATCCCAGCACTCGGGAGGCAGAGCCAGGTGGATCTCTGTGAGTTTGAGGCCAGCCTGGGCTACCAAGTGAGTTCCAGGAAAGGCACGCAAAACTACACAGAGAAACCCTGTCTCAAAAAACCAAAAAAAAAAAAAATAAAAATAAAAAATAAAAAAAATAAAAATTATAATGGAAGAAAGCTATGGATTAAACACCTCATTCCTTTGTAACCTGCGCTTCTCAGAGGGGAGCCTCATACTAGTATCCCACTGCGACCTTTTAAATGTTAATCTGTATCTTGTACACAATGTAATCTCACCACACCAGTATACTGCCATTTAACTCAACAAAAAGTTACTGCACAATTCTTTGGGTTACTGGTATAAGCTCTCTTATTTTATGTACACATTTGCAAACACACACATGCTCATAAAAATACATAAAGATAAACACTAAATTATCAAATGTGGTTACTTTGGGACGTTAAGATTGATGTAGAAAATTGGAAAAAAAAAATTCTTAGCTGGGTGGTGGTGGCACACGCCTTTTATCCCAGCACTGGGGAGGCAGAGGCAGGCAGATCTCTGAGTTTGAGGCCAGCCTGGTCTACTGAGCAAGTTCCAGGACAGTCAGGGCTACACAGAGAGATTCTGTCTGGAAAAACAAAATTTAAAAAAAAGGAAAAAAATCCTTACGCACTTTTGATCTTTGGACTTAGGGATAACTGTGTAATTAGAAAAGATTCAGAATTCTGCATGGTTATTGATATATGCAACCAACAAAGCAGTTTTATATCTGTAATCAGTGTTCATTTTTGACAAGTTTGTAGGCTACCCACAAAACACATTATTCACATTCAAGACGAGGACTTGAAAACTAGATAGGATGAGCATGTAAGGGCCCATGGGCAGTGAAGGTAAAACCATAGTTGGGGTCTGTGGCTTAGTGCAGCTACTTGGCTATTTCCATTACTAATTCTCATAGTTCCCTTCTTAGCCAGGTGCTTCTGTGAGCAGAGACCCAGATTTCCTCAGGAAGGCCCAATAATCCACATTTCATTCTGAAATGCGGCAGCTAAGGTAGCTAAGACATCTTTGAATAAACATTGTGTGACCAAGACACAATAGGATTATTTCCTGGTGAGGACATGGTCTTTGTCATTGGGTAAGACAATGGGCCTGTCTTCAAACAGACCACACCATGGACTCAAGACCCATGTCCTGATTTGCTGTGTGTTTTCTGGCTTAACAGATGAACCTTCATTATCACCCTAGCTTTATGCTGTCCTGAACCTTTAATCTTAAGAGAGACACAAGAGAGAGATTGCGTAGTTAAAACTTGCTGAAAGACAAATATATATTATTGCAAGGGAACTCTCCTTTGTGATGAGTGCTGGGCAATATAATATAGTTCTGAAACCATAGATTACACATGGTCATTCTCCATCCCAAACCATGGCTAAAAATATCAACACTGCAAGTCCCTAGGGAACACCTGATGGTACAACAATGTCCCAAGTGCCTCTGGCTGAACAACATCTGGGAAAACCTGTTTCGAATATCCTACATCTTATCTACCAGGTGGCTTGTGGTAAATAATTCTCTAGAAGACAAAAGACAGAGAAATCCTCTTGGGGTCAGTCTCTGTGTTATGACCTAGTCATGAGCCCCCCAGAGATCACCAAGAGTCTGAGTTCATACGCAAAAGCAAAGAGCCTTTATTGCAAGCTTAAGCTTGGGCTTCCCATCCATTCGACATAGTGGTTGGATCAGGGAGAACACTGAGCTCAGTTATGGCAGGGATTTTAAAGAGTAAAAGATGGGGGTAGGGGAATTCTGGATTCAGACGGGGGTTGAACTCCTGTTTGGGTAGGAGTGAGGTAACAGATGTCTTGTCAAACAGGGGTTGGTACTGACATTGCTGCCAGGAAACTGGCAACCTATATACAAGTGATGTAAGCTATGCTTTATGCCTTGGAGCATCTAGTACTTGTTTGTCTCAATTCTGATTGGTCTCCCGCAGGGTACAGTTTGTGGCTTTTCCTGGTTACTGTAATGATGAGGCCTAGTTCCAGTATTGTTAGTATGCAGCCCGTCATGGCTGCACTAATGTTAAGGTAGGCCTCTTCACTCTGCACCAACAGCTGATGCTTATTTTATCAGCTGCCTGCCGTGGCAGTCTTCCTAAGACACCTCTGCTTCTGCCGCTTTGACTGAGACCCAGATTGTTGATACCAGCAAATCTGGTAGAGGTTGAGCTCCTGCCAATGGAGGAAGAGACTGCTACTCAGTCTCCAAAACTGAATACGATGTAATCCGCTTCTTCAGGTTCCTCAAGCCTAAGTTCCCCCGCCATGCTGGACTGACAGCAAAGCCAACCTTTCCCTTCCTTAACTTGCTTTGCTCAGGCATTCTGTCACAGTAACAGCTCATACGCCTATACATATGCCTCTTGCAGAAGAGAGGAAGCTGGCCGAAGAGATGACATTTCTGGGCCGTTGATGAGGCTGTTATCAACTCTGGAGGAGCCAAGAGCACAGGGTTGACATTCTGCAATGGGTCTCCTCACCCCTGAGCTCCTTGGAGGTAACTTACACGGCTAAGAAGACCCTTGCACACACAGTAGGTTGTGCTGCCGGAGAGAACACTGACCTGGACGTACTATTGTTTTACAGGAAGTAGAAAGGATCCTGCATCACATCTGAGGAGACATTGCTCTATCCAACCAAGGCTGTGAGCCATAAATGCAATTCTGTAAAATGGACAGATAGAAATTAGGAACCAGGAATGCCTGATATACTTGGTAACTTATGAACAGCACTGAAATACATTTAAAAAAAAAAACCTGATTACTGTAAGAATTAGTGACCATTATGGTGTCTATCTGGCTAAGACTGGAATCAGACTCCAGAGAAGCCTCACAAAAATATTTTGAGCCCTATAATTTTAACCCCTAATAAGATGAAATTCAGAAGTTCTTTGAATTTCTTTGTCTAGCTGCCAACTTAATTCTAATAAAGTTTTTCTTCTCCTATGACTGACTCTTCCTCTCTCCTCCCTTCTCCTCTCCTCTCCTCTCCTCCCCTCCCCTCCTCTCTTCTCCCCTCCCCTCTCCTTCCTTCCCCTCCCCTCTCCTCTCCTTTTCTCCCTTCCCCTCCCCTTCCTCCCCCTCTTCTGGCTGTCCCCTCTCTTCCCCTCCTCTCCTCTCTCTGTCCCCTCCCCTCCTCCCCTGTTCTCTCTCTCTCACTGTTGTTAAAACTCCTTTCCAGAATGGAGATGTAAGCCACATCTCCTCCTTTTCCTAAGGTCACAATGACAAACTGAAGCACACTAAAACTAAAACTCACTCCAAGGAACCAATGAATTTATTGGGCTTCCTTTACAGAGCAGAAGTGGGGGTTATTTACAGGGATGTGGGTACTCCTCCCCAAATCAGCCACCCCTGGAAAGCCTTAACCTGCCGGGAAGAGGGTTTCCCCACAGCTGCATGGATGGAGTCACTAGTCTTCCCTGGCATGCATGTGTGTATTCTATGTATGTATTCTAGCCCTCACCTCAGGCCACAGCAAAGTTGCCAGTTGATAGGGAGCTGGTGAGTACTCAGATACTTGCGGAGGCGAGGAGGGTATGGAGTGGGCAGCATGGAGTGGGGAGGAAGACTCATCTCACAGCCACTGGGCCACCATGTGTCGTCCAGGCTTCTTCAAAGATCCTCAGATGCACTCAAAAAGAGGGAGGTGCATGAAATCAAATCCATATGTGTTTCCTCTTAGAAATCAAAACAACCCTAACTTCTTGCTGGGTTCCCAGCTCTGCCCAGGACTTCCTGATGGGGCAACTGTTATTCCATTAATGTGCAAGCTCAGAGGACAGGCTTGAA